TAAATAATATACAGACCCTAGCTATAATTTTAATTGCAATAATGATTATATTGTGTACAGTAGTCTACAGTCTAGACCCCCCAATCCCACATAAGAAAAGCAGTATGAAGAGAAAAAGAAAACACATTTGTGGCATGTGAATTGGGACCATGATTAGATTGATCAACTTTATTCTAACATAATTAATCATCCAATCTATAGCCTGTTCATCTGTTCATCACAGTTTTTCATACTGCTCTGATTCTGCCAGGGTTGTATTTTCATATGCTTGAGATAGGTAGAGAATATAGGAAACAACTTTTAACATATTAGAATGGCCAGGTCAATACAACAAAGTATGGCATACATGAGACAAGACAGTGCAGCTTGTCAAATTATGAGTTCAATTAGCCTATAATTAGTAATCATATTTCTCTTTTAAAATTACAATACTTCACTGCTGAGGCCTGAGTGATCAATAGATATGTTTATGTTTTTTTTTTTATTTCTTTAAATAATATGGGGTGTTGGTATCAATCAGAGATTCAGAGCTCCAAGAGTAAGCCTCTATGTTGTACTGCAATAGAAGTTATTATGTGATTAATGATAAGATCAGGAACCTAATAGAATTTGATAAGATTTTTGATGGAAGACCAGACCATTTAGCTTGATTGTGAAGGGAAATGGTAATAATCATATCAAATCAATAACAATGTGTGTGGCAAATCAAATCAAAGGGACCAAGTATGATGAATGCTTTTAGTTGAAAGGGACTAGAAATGGTAGGAGCATGTGAGTCTGTGTATATAGTTCTAATCGACACAGAGGACCTCGGCCTAGAAGATGGGATGTTGGCTATTGGGAGAGCAAATTAATGATTCAAGGAGATAACATCATTTGACCCTTTTATTGAACTAAAGATTCCACATCAGATAAGCATTTATATATTATAGGTGTATACTTTGGTACCCAAAGTGATGGAATGTCGGATCCAACTCTATATTAAAAGCAGTGGCTAGAATTAATAATAACTAAAATCTGTATATTTTATTTAGTAGGCAAGGATAGAGACTTCCATCATGGCATTATCGAGTTCCAATAATACACCAAATCTGCTGCATGTTCGCTTATTCTTTCATTAAATGAAATCATCGTTTCTTTTCCCATCTGTTGAACAAAACAAACCACTGGGACTCTGTATCCTGTCATGATTTAACATTCCATCTGATGCTGATATTAACCCCTTTTTCCACTTTGTTTCCACATGGACGGAAGATAAAATTTTGGCAGTGAAAGAGGAGAATTATATATATATAACTGATATTTTACATATTGTAATTTTTTTTTTGTCAAAATAGAAAAACATACCTGAAATTTTTAACATAGAAAATGTTAGTTTCTAGCCTGTTTACTGTTGGTTATGTAGTATAACATTATAAATGATATTGTATAAAATATTGTTTTTGTTGTTAATTTGGAATCTATGCCTAAAAACACTATTTCCTGTTTCACACACTTCTCTTAAAATAACCAGCAAGCAGTATACAAAAAAAAGAATGGTGTGATAAGCATTTAATAGGAAAGATACTTTTGATTTACATCAAAATCCTCCAAAATCAGAATCGGAATGAATTATTCCCATAATCTATTTGGTTCAAATAGGAATTAGAATAAGGTGGAATGAGTTTTCAATCGTAAGGGAGGGGGGGACGAGGGAATGGCATTTAGAGGTGAGCATTCAGTTTATTTGGTTAAAAATCAAATCGAATAAATTGAAATTTTAAAAACCAAATTTTCAATTCTGTTTTCAGTTATTTCGGTTAAACCCGAATTTAATTAATATATATATTATGAAATTTGATTATAATACATTATATATAAATATATAGCATATTATATAATAAATTTCAGTTAATTCGGTTTTTTTGGTTAACCAATTTTATAACTTTAAAAACCGAAACCGAAAACCAAAATTCCTAAAAACCGAAACCGAAATTTTCAGTTTGATATTTCGATTTTAACCAAATAATGCTCACCTCTAATGGCATTCCATTATGAATGAAAATGCGATTTCAGTCCCATCCAACCAAACAGTTGGAATCACCTGATTCGACCCCCTATTCCAGCAAACCAAATGGGCCCTAAATTATGAACAAACATGCATGTAATAATATGCTTATTGTGTTAGTTTTTTTTTTTTTTTTCTTCGTAATAGAAGAGTTGGATCAGTGCAAAAGTTAGTATATATATTGGGGGATTACATTGGACTCGGGTTAAGCTGGAGGCCAGGTATTTATAATTAAACAAATTCCCAATCCAACCTGACCCAAGAACCAAGTTGCACCCTTTACCTAGGAACTCGGATGGGATAGCACAAGGTACACGTGAGACCTCTTGTCCATGCTACAGAGAGTATACAGGTTCTGAGCTAACTTCAAAGTATTGATAGTGTGATGCATTTTTCATGTATTGAGGTTCTGCCATGCTCTTTTTTTCTTTCATTTTTTTTTTATTTTCTTTAAGCTGACAACAAACAGTTTATGAACATGTGAAAGTTTTAAAGGTCAATAATCAAAATTCTAATAAATGATGTATCGCCCATCTGAATCAATATGTATCATATGATGCGATGACATTTCCATGGTTTAGATTAAGGATGACAATTTCGAAATTTCCCCATGGGATGATTTTCCCCCAAGTTAACATTGAATGGTTGGGGTCAAAGCCTATGTTGCTGAGAGCGTTTTTAGGTTGAACATGCGAGTCTAGATTAGCTGATCATGATACATTGTTAGTCACACACACGGCACATTCAATTATACATCGAGAATATTGGTGTTTTAAAGTACAACCAATGTTCCTGATGTGCGTCAGGGTGCCCATAACCCGCAATGTATTGTGGTCAGTAGATCCAAACTCTATTAATTTACAGCTGTTTATGATTGTGGTTAAAAAGAAATAGGGAGCAATTACTAGTTTACCCTACTCTATAATAACGTGGCATTCCCAAAAATGTTCTCAATTGCAGAGGTTATTCCATACCCCCCCCCCCCCCAGTGCCACCAAACCATGCTACTTATGTTATTGTTAAACATGTTATTGTGGGGGGCTGATTTGAACTCTTATTTATTTCGTATTTTCTATTTCCTTTGTACCAAGGAACGATTGTATCCTCATGACTTTTGATTAATAAAAAAGGTTAGTTACTTAATATACCTTAACTATCACAATTAGTTAAAGTACCTATGAGTTTCAAACCTTTAAAGTTTCAGAAACATGACAAATACCACCCGTATGTTAATCTCCCGTCACGTTTGTATGCGACAGTTTTAATTTTGGGAAATTGTCTAAAATTCACCATGAGTTTTAAGTATTTATTTTAAACTCCCCACAACTTTTCAAAATGTCTAAAATTCACCATGTCAGTAAGTTTTTATTTTCCAAAACTCACTTTCCATTAGTGCACTGTTAATGCCTCATAATAAAGGTGTCCACATCAGCATAAATAACAATTTTCATGACCAAATTACCCTTGAATGGCAAGTTAGAGGAAAATGGTCTTTTTCAGTTTTCAATTTTATTTTTTCCTTTTCTTTGGCATTTTTGGTGTTTTGTTATAATTTCCAACGTTTTTTATAATTTCTGTTTTTTACATTTTCTATTTTCTACGGTCTATAAATTTTCTTGTATTTTTTTTGTTATTTATTTGCAATTTATGTGTTTTTCTATAAATTTTTATGTTTTTTCTACAATTTTTATTCTCTGATTTTTTTTTCAATTCCCATAGTTTCTATGATTTGAAAATATATTTTACTTTGTTTTCAATTTCTATATATTTTTTTTTATATTTTTTGTAGTTTTTGTGTTTTTATGTATTTTATATTTTAATTTTTTTGAACATTTTCCTTTTTTCATGTCTAAATATTAATATTAATATATATATATATATTAATATTTTTCTATGAAGGCTAAAATGATAATATATTAACACCATTAGTTTGTTTAACGTCAAGTTAGTGTTTAAGAGAAATGCTGAAATCTCGTGGTGAGTTTTAGACAATTTCCATTTAATTTTTAATTTCTCAAAATCCCAAATTTCCCTCACCGATGACGTTGCCCCAGGCTTTTAAAACTGGTCCAGACAAGGAACCATTTTGGAGATCATTCTCAGGTCAAATGGTCTGGTCGTTCAATTCAAATGGATGGCTCATTTTGTCTTAAAAAAAAGGCCAAAAAACCATTATTTGGGTTGTTGATCAAAACAATGGTTTTTGGCCAAAAAGTGGTTTTAGGGTGAAACGAAACCGATTACCTGATTGATACCTGGGTTTTTTCAATCAAATCGTCTGGTCTGGTCCAATTTTGAAAACCATGTATTACCCCTATCTAGAGAATAAATAAAAGGGTCCATTCTACAACTTAACCCAAATTGGTCCATTCGTTGGTCAACTAATATATACCATTGGCTTGAGTAGCTTGCGAGTATGACTTGAGTCGAGTTCAAGTATGAAATTCAAAAGTTAATTGAGTTTTGATTTTCAAGTTTTTGAATTGAACTTGAACTCGATCCACCCAAGATTAATTAAACTCAGCTTGATTACACTCCTTGAATGGATATGAAAATGATATCCAATTAAGTGATATTTATCGAAGGATTTTGATTGGTAAAGTCCTTTCTGATATCATATCTTTTTGGCAGCATAGATTTTTCTATGACATTAACTTGTATTTTTACTCTGTCACTTGTACTCTTTTTTCTTTTTGAGGTCTCTTTATTTATACTCTTACTATTATATGATACTTACTCATTATAATGCCAGTTACAAAAATTAAATCCAAATATCAATATATCAAATCGTTAATACTTCATTGTGCACGTGGATAACACGTACCTTTACACTGCACTAAAGTATCGTTCCAATTTTATTAGATATAGTATTAATTATGAGCCGAGGCAGGCGTTAAATTTTGGGCCAGGCCCGGACTGAATATCTCTGGGCCAGGGCACAAATTCTAGGTTCATGCCAGGGGAAATTTGCGGGCCGGGCTAAAAATGACCCTGCTGGTGAGAAATGAGAATATGGTAAACCGAGTAGCCGTTGTTCCGCTACCGGTGAGTCGGTGACCGGTGTTCCAAACTTCCGTAGTCGTCTTCCGTAGTCGTCCATTACTTTTTAAATTTCGCGCTTTCTGGTAGTCTCACTCTACGGTCTACACGGGCTAATCCCGTTCTCATTCGTTACTGTCCATCGAAAATTCTGATGCTTGCTCGTTCTCTATGCAGACAGCAGGCAGGCAGCATCACTTGGGCCCTCTTCATTGCCAATAGTATATTAGTTATTTTACAGAGATGCAAGTAAAGCTTCCATTGCAATGAACATGGAAGAACATGTTTGGGGCAAATACGAACAGTATATCGCACTGCATACTGCCCAACCTGCCAACACACGGCGTCACTATGTTCAAGCCCTAGCCTCTGCCAGGGCTCTTATCCTTAACCCTTCTACATCCGACCACACCATCTCTTGCATTCTCGAAACCCTAGTTCGCTCTCTGCAATACGAACCAGACCCTCTCCTGCTTCATCATGTCCTCAAACTCCTATCTGACATTGCTCTCCATCATCGACACCTCTCGTTTTCCATCTTCAACACCATCCGTGCCCATGAAGCGGGTCATAAAGATTCCAATGGTCTTGCCGTGGAAGTCCTCAGTGTGCTTTTCACGATTGCAGAGCACGATCATAGCTTGGCGACAGCCATGTATGACCTTGATGAGAATTTTGTCCTCTCGCTCTTTCTCAGTCCTGTTACTACTAGGAGGTCATGGCTTCTCACGAATATCAGTCGATTTCACATTAAGCAATCTTTCTTGATTACTTTGTTCTTGGCGTTTATGAAGGACCCTTATCCTTTCGTGAGGAGTTCTGCTTTGGTTGGCTTACTGGGTTTAAGCAAGTCCGTAGACGGTAAGGAGTATGCCGTAGTTAAGGAATGCTATGGCTGTGCGATGGAGCTTCTTCATGACATAGATGAACGTGTAAGGTCGGCTGCAGTTCGTGTGGTGAGACATCTATCTGTTACTTTCTTACATTTTTTTTTTTAATAATATCTGCATGCCCATTTTTCAATGGCATACTTGCTGATTTGCTGAAACGGAGAGGCTTTGTGACGTTCTACTATATATGTGTTCCGTTCTTCTATTAACTGCTTAGGGCCAATTCAGTATGAAATTCATCTTTTTTTTGTGGAAATGTAGCTTATCTGTTGAGCAGATGGTTAGTTATTAGTATGGTCTACCAGCAGGACAAAGTTAAATATATTACATATTGGCAATTGTAGGCTAAATGAAGTATATAAGTTATGCTTGTATAGTTGTCAAACTATTATTGGTTGAAATGATGTTCAAGCTGGTGATCATAAATAGGTTTACTTCTCTGTCTCCCAGATGTCATTTATGGTCGTACTTCTGGTCTAGCTAATGGGTTACTTACATTTCCTCATTGTAATTCCAGATCAGTGATTGGGGACAAGTTTTAGTAGCACCAAATGATGAAGCAAATAAAAGAGATTGGTATGATGTAATTTTTGTTCAGGTATCATTCCACCTCTTGACATACTTGTAATTGATTTTTTCCTTCTTTGTCTCCTTTTTCCAGTTCTATGCTGATTATTTCACTATACTACTGCTATCGTTGGCCATTAACCAGTTAATTGTTTGCACCGATCTGTGACTGCCAAGAGTTTAATGTCTGTGTCTCAGATGTTGGATGGGGCACTCTACATGTAACAAACTTAGACCGAAGGCAAAGTGGGGCACTAGAATACTCCCATCTTGCTAAAAGAAGACATACTTATCACCTGGAAGTAAAGTTCCTAATTTCAATTCTTGCTCAGCTATCAACTTCCCATGTGACATGAATATATTTAATCAAAGCAATATTTGCTTCTTTTTTTCCTCATTTTCCTTTTCTTTTTCTTGATAAGTACTTTTTATATTCAATCTTTATGCATGGATATTCTAGTAGTTGTTGCACAATGTCTTCCACCCTACCTACAATCATAACTTCCTTATTTAACCAAGAATACCAATTTCTTCTACGAATCTTATGTTGCACTTGATTCATTGATCATTGTAGCGTAATTGGAGTTTTATAATTCCTAATTACCAATGGTATTGCCAATAAAAAAAATCCAAAAATGGTGAACCATCTTCCACCTCTGCAAATGACACTTTTGCTTTGGGTTTTTGCTTCTCATATTGAAATACCTTATACTTTTTTTGAATTCATATGCCTATAAAAAAGGTCCACAATGTGTGTCAGACATGGTCACTTCATCCATTTAATGGAGTCTGTCCAACACTCTGTGGAACATGATTGAATCCATTGATCATTGAGTTTTTTTCTTGACAATCTGCCATGCCTTTCCAGTTGTATGTCACAGAAATGTTGGATGGTTTAGTTCAGCAAATTTGCTTGGGATTTTGTCTAAAAAAAGCAAATACATCTATCTCCTTTTTTTGCAATAAATAATAAATAATAACTAAAAAGGAAAGGGGCATTATGTATGGTGAACTTTTATCTTATATCATAAATAAGTAATAAATATTTCTTTCTTTTGCCCTTTCCAGTTTAATTATTTTTCTTATCTTCATTAGTTTTTGAGTAACAAGTCTGTTTCTATAATTGGATAATGATTTTCATCTGCAGCTTTGTTCTATGGTAAGAGATATGAGTGTGGAGGTGAGAATTGAAGCTTTTGTTGCACTTGGGAAATTAGAGCTGGTTTCTGAGGAGTTGCTATTACAGAGCCTGTCTAAGAAAACACTTGCTGTTATAAAAGAAAAGAAAATATTTTTCCAGTGCCATGAAAAAGAACTTGAGTTATCAAAATCAAGTGCTGCTGGGGCATTTGTACATGGCCTTGAGGATGAATTCTATGAGGTAACTTGGGTAGATTTTATTTCTCTGTTTTGTCTTCATTTTATCTATAAACTCTGAGGTTGACATGGTGTAGATGCAAAGTAATGGGAATCACACTTATAGCATGTGATCCTTGTATAAATATACTAATAAAAAAATCCTTGTGACAAATATACACCTAAAATTCTCCAAGACATTTAGATATCTTAAAAGAAAATGCATTTGATGTTTAAATTTTTGTTAATGTCTGTTTCCCAAATTTGAGCAAGCTAAAGATGTTTTCTTGTATATGGGGGGCTGCTACTTTTTTGGGCTTATTGGAATCAAATTGTTATTGTGTTGATGAGTTTAATTTGTTGGCTGCGTCTTTTACAACACTTCCAAAAGCACATGTAGAAGAAAGAAAAAGGGAGCTTCTGAAATTTCCTAAGTCAATGTGCTAAGTTGTTCTAAGAGGCTGGGAAGTAAATCTCCTAGCTGGAACCCCTCTTCTGTTGCCAGTCTAGACTATATTTGCCACATGCATATACATTAAGCACTAAATATGGTCTATGAGATTGGGTCTATTAATTGTCCTGTTCAAGTCTCAGCATTATTTGTTTCCTGAAGTTGGGAAGCAGGTTTTTATATTCATTTGTCATACTAACAATTCTTTACTTTTATAAACTGAAGGTACGGAGATCAGCTTGTAATTCCTTGGGGATGCTCTCTATCTTCTCTCTTCAGTTTGCAAGTGATGCCTTAGACTTGCTGGTGGACTTGCTGAATGATGATTCAACTGTTGTTCGGTTACAAGCTTTGGAAACAATGTATCATATGGCAAAATGTGGTTGTTTAAGGGTGCAAGAAACACACATGCACATGGTATTTCTCTGGTTTTTTCTTAGTCTACACCAATGAGTCAATGACTGAGGAGATTTCATCCTCCCACTGTTTAGAACCATTGACAAGAAATGCAACTGCTGATACACCATAGGCCTCAAAGACTGTGATGTTCAGCAGGGTTACCCTCAGAAATCTCTTAGTAACTGTCAGAATCGACAGTACAAAGGTAGTTTAGTCATTTGTCTATTTAATTAAGGTTGAATTGTCTATTTTGTCTGGGTTTAAGTTGTGTGTCCCATACTTAATGAGGGACAGATTTGCCTTTTTTAATTTAATACAAAGAGTATAAATATAAGGTGGGTCGGCTGAGAGAGATTGACTTTTCCTCTTCTTAGACTGAACCCTTACTTATCTCAGACCTAGGACTGGACTAGTGTTAATCGAATCATTCACAGTAACCATCTCTGGCAGCCCAATTGTATCTACATAAATGTTCTCTATACCTTATTCTTGTTTCCATTTTCTTTTTCCTTCTCAAATTCACTTGCTTGTATAATTTTCCTTAATTGTGTCTTACTTTCATCTTGCAGTTGCTTGGCACACTAGTTGATACTAGTAGCTTAATCAGATCTGCAGCTAGAAAAATATTTCGAATAATGAAGCTGTCTGTAAGGGCAATGTTTGCATCCATAATTAGTGGCCTTTTGAGCAATTTGAGAACATATCCGCAGGTTGGTTTCAATACCCCTTCCTCTTCTTCTAACTTCTTTCAAGTTGAATTCTTATGTTTTGTAGGAAACAAATGGGACTTTCCAAGTTAGATATAGTCATTACAGTTTCTTGGCTAGTGCATAGTAGTGATTTTTGCCCTTGACTTCCATGATTTATTGGATCAATATCTTAAGTCCAGACATGCACTGAATCTGATTTGGTAACACATGTTGTGTTTGTTCAATGATCCATAATCTCATCATTCTGTCATTGTCCACAGGATGAAGCTGATATCTTCCCCTTATTATTTGATATTGGTAGAAATCATGGGAACTTTGTGGTCAGCTTTATAAAGGAGGTCATTCAAGAGGTTGTTAGCATTCGTCTCTCAATTTTTACTCTTAAGCTTCATTTCTGGCTTCAGATGTTGCATATTATCACCTAATTGTGAAACTTATTTTCAATTGTCATGAATAAACAAAAAAGAGTCAAGTCCTAGCTTGATCAATGAGAACAGCAGTTTTTGGAAGATTGAAACTATTTTCACCACTCACCAGAAGCTAATCAAATCTGTCTCAAATAGTCAAATGCCATCTCAAGGCAGCATCACGAATGGGGTTGCATGGATTACTGGTTGATCTTTGGCCTCTGTTTTTGTTATTAATATGGGGTATACAACTATCTGGAGGTGGTTACAATGCTTTCAGGGAGCTTTTCCCCTCTTGGCAGCCACTCTGAAAGCAGGAGCTAACTTGTTGAAACCTATGACTCCCTCTGACCAAGGTTCAAAATATCGATACGCCCGATATGCCGGTAGGGGCGTATCAGGCGAATCGATACTGCTTTTTATTGTTTTATTTTTTTTATTTTTTTCGCAACCGGTTCAGGGGAGCCGGTTTAGGGCTCCTCCACCCCATGAACTGGTCAGACCCCCGATACACCCACTGTAGGGGCATATCGGAGGGGTCCCAGAACGATACGTATCGGCTGATACGGGCTGATACGTGTCGATACTTTGAACCTTGCCTCTGACATGACCCCAGTGCTCCTCCACCCTCCCCAGAGAAGAAAAGGAAACCACCAATAATACATGAATCTGTCCTCCAGGCTAAATGCATACAACTTTTGTCCTTTCTCTGGTTGTCAGGTGAATGAACAGTCTAGATTACTTGTGTAATCAACTGGATAGTATTGGTATTTTAAACCGTCAATAATTCAGTATTTTGCTATCATACAAGTAAAAGCAGTGCATTTTTCACTCATTTGTCCACATAGTGATTGGGTACTAGCATCTGAAAATAGATATTCTAAACAATTAGATGATTGGAAACTTTCACTCATTTTGGATGAGTATATATAATAGACATCTTTTTTGCATAACTTTTTGTGCAGATATAACTTACATTTTACTAGATTTCAATTATTCAAGATGTGATACAATATGACATCCACTATTGCTCGGAAGGAAATGTGGAAGTTTTAGAAGAATCCTTATTATATGTATATTCCCTTACTGGTTTGTTGCCTTCTTGGGGTTGTCTTTCTTTATACAAAAATATAATGTCTCAAATTAGGTTCCTTTGTGAAGCTTAGAGTTACTGCTATATTTTCTCTTTTCCTTGCAATCATTTTCCCCTATTTCTATATTAGAGTTTTCCTTATTGTCTTATTACCAAACTGCCTCTGCTCTCTCCACATCAAACTCAAAATGCTAATTGCATTAATTTTCTCTTGCTTTTCTCTTGCTTCAGATGGAGCCTTCCTGTGAAGGAGAATTACGTTTTGATAGTGCAAATGTAGCTGCATTGTTGGTGTTAGCCATCTCAGTACCTCTTTCACATGAACATAGTGCCTGCAACATTCCACTAAGAATATTTTCCTATGGACTTCCTTTTCTGGGAAGGATCTCTCGCTCATTGAGTGATTCTACAAATCGAGATGCCATTTTAGCTTACTTGTTTCACTGCAGTGGATCCATTCTACCTCTTGTCACAGAGTTGAACTTTAGGGGAAATGAGCTTGTCTTGCCCGTTGCTGAAGGTGGTGGCCCAAGTCACAGTGATCATGAGGGAGCTAATCCTCTAGAAGTTTTCTTGCAACAAATCAGTAACTGTGGTAATAGCTCTGATGCTCAATCTATGTATGTCCCAAGTCATGCATCAACCGAATTTGAAGAATGGGTCACAGTCTCTGTGAAACGTATTTTTAAAGTAGTTGCAGAAACTTGGCCATACATACAGTCAGGATGCACCACTGAAGTACTAAGGACATTAAGGTTCTAGTCTTACTTTATCATTTGCTCTTTTACAGACTAAATAGCTCAATCATTACTTCATTTTGTAGTCTTTCTCCTCCTGGTCCTTGGTGGAAGCATGTAACCCTTGTCATAGTGTAGGTTGTAACACAAGCCTTCATTTGGTCTGTGGGAATGTTCTCTTTTGTGGAAGCTTGATAAACAAATATCTCCAGGAGAAGCTATATGCATTTTGGACGTGATGCAAACAGCAATCACTTAGATTTGAAGGGGCCATAAGGAGGATATGGCTACCCACTTTTTCCTTTTTTTCTTCTTTCTGTCTTGCATTTTTCCATGTAGGTTTGGAAGAGACCTTAACTGACATAAAGATCACCTTGGTCAAATACCAGCCCAACTTGACCATCTTAAGAGTCAATTTTTGGATTTGTATCTTACTTTTTTGTTTGGCTGGTTTGATCATTTCTATTGGTTATGTAGTCAATGTAGTCAGTGTAGTGTGCAACTTGGGCCTGGTTGGGTTGGTTGAGGTTAACCTTGCCTAACCTAAAGTAATAAAACCTCAACCTTAATCCAAGGGGCTTCACCTAAGGGGCCATTTGATAATGGATGAAGTGGTTGAACTGAATGACTTATTGCTTTGTCTTTTGGGGATACAATTATTAAATAATAACATAGTTGAGGGTACAGTAAACAACCCATTTAGATTCAGTCATTAAGAAGCTCACAAAGACAAAGCAATAAATCATTCAATTCAGCCATGAGCTCATGTGCCATAGAAATTGTGATCTCTCTCAATTGAACTAACCCTAAATTGCAAAAAAAAAAAAAAAAAGAGAAATTAGGAAAAAACAAAAGAGCTACTTTTGTTAGTGGAGGCAAGGAAAGCAGAGTGGAAGGTGGAGATTCAGACAGAACAATAGGGATTTCTGCTTTTTGAGTGGATATTTATGGATCGTGATTACTGATTAGACCTGTTCATGGGCCGGGCTCAGGCTTTGCTTTTGCCAAATTTTGAATGGGCCCGGCCCAAAGCTTGAGCCTGACATAGTGTAAAGTCAGGCCCGAAGCCCAGCCAGTGAACAGGTCTAATTGGATTTTGGATAAGAAATGCATGGGTTAGGATTTGATGGTCTTTAGGTAGTTTTTATCTGCTGTGCAAACCTTTTACTAATTTATGTTTTAGCATGGATATTAACTATTCAAAACAATATCAGAGGTAACATTTAAATAAGCACATAATATACATATGTTTGTATTGATGTTACTAGTATAATCTGAGATCAGCTTTGGATTGTTTTTGTTTTTTTAGTTCTTTTTTGTACTGCTCAAGGGGCACAACCTTAATCCAACTAGGTTTAAATCAGTTGGCATTTTTCCTATGCCTAATCCAGTTTATCCAACCCTATTCTTTCCAGGGGCCTGACCCAATTTGTACCCCTAGTTAGTACTGGTCCATCAATTACCATTGGAATGTCATGAACCCCTTGGCTGTGCATCACATCTTCAAGCTAATACTTGAATATAACTGTATCTGTATGTAAGGTTAGTTCCCTCCTTTTAGAGTAACGGTAAATTTGCTGATTGTTGACTGCCTTTCTGTTATGATATACAGGAACTGCAAGGAAGAGCTGGCTACAATTACCACTAATTCACTTGGATCTTTTGATGTTTTGGCCTTTACATCCCAATATCTTCAAGTAATCCAACTGCTAGCAAAGATATGGGAACATTTTCTGCCAAAGAAAATGTTCCAATTTTATGGAGTTGGAAGGTTGGATCTTTTATTGGAGAAACTAGAATCTGGTCTCAGCGGATTGAGACACAAGTTCTCAGGTTTGAGCATAGAAGAAGAATTTCATGTCTTAGAACTGATACTTTTGACTTGTGTGTTGAGATTGTGCAAGGTTGAAATATGCTGTCACCTTATCACACTCAATAGATTGTATACTACAATGTCCTCTATAGAACTTCTTTGTGGGAAAGGAACTCTTGAACCCTCCAATTTTGTTAAAGAACTACAGAAATTGCTCCTTCAGTTGGGTCCCTTGGGTGATGGAGCTTCATACGATCCTTTGAGTTTTAAGAGGTTACTTGAATTCTTCTCCCTCAAGCAGGTTGTATACAATGGACGATTCAAGCATATGAAAGCAGAACTAGATATCCCTAGTAATGACTCTGAAAACCCTCTTCATTTTGTATCAGGATTGCCTGTGGGCATTCCATTCCAGATTTCTCTATATAATATTTCATTAGAGGACAAATTGTGGATAATGATGGCTGTAGAGAATTCGATTCAATATGCCTTTCTAGATTTGGAACAATTTGGAGGTTGTGATGAGGTCAGGACAGTCACACTTAGTGTTCCCTTTTACAGGACTCCAAACGTGGTCTCTTTCTCCTTGAGAGCAACTGTAGGTAGAGAATACACCTCTCATGATGTTCACTTGGTGAAAGGTGGGGTGGGGCCAAAACATGAACTCGCATTTCTTTGTGAGGAAAAAGTGATTTATCTGGTTAATACTTCTATAGATTGATTGTATAAGATTGATACTTGGATAGGATGAAGTTGAAGAGATGATTCCCTCTGCATGTGCTATGCATTACACTCATGCAAATAGATTGTGGACCACTGGGCTCTGTTACAAAGTTGATTCATTTGTTTGATCATATATTCAAGTGAGATCCAATCTTCTCTTGAGGTGTTGCAGTTCCCATGAAGTTGCTGAAATGGCCAGCTGTGTTCTGTTTGCCCTAAGTCAACAACACAAAACAGAGGTCTGTCTATTGTCTTTTCACCATGTATTCAAGAATCCGCTCTAGCTAATTATGTCTATTGATGTGCATGTGGAAGCATCAGTAGTGTGCCATCTTATTGCCAAATGCTACATCAGCATTCAGGTCACCATGGGAAAAATAAATTGAGATCCGTGCTTTCAAGGAATAAGAGACAGCATTTTGGAGCTGATGTGGTTAATCTTCAGGTAAATATTTCTCATGGGAATCCTGTCATCCAGCAATAACATGACCATAAACGTTTAACAAGTGTAAGGCAATTGGGATGAACCATTTAGGGGGTGTTCTACAACATGAATGTTTTTGTTTTCATTTGTTTCTGAAATTGGTACATCAGTGAAAAAACAAGAATGCGTTCTTGAGCTTTGCTTTTGTTTTGAAAAGCAAAAGCAAGTTGGGTTTGTTTTAAAAGGCAATTCACATTTTTAAAGCCATCAAAATGGTGGTTTTCAAAACAAAAAATAAAATATTGTTAGTATAGAAATCATATGATTTATTTTAACCAGAATTTCAATAATATGTTTTTTTTTTTTTGTTTCAGTTTTGAAAATGAACACATGTATAACCAAGAGCATGTTTTCTGTATTTTGACCTTTTGTCTTAGGAACAAATTTATTTTCAAACCAGGTGGTTTTAATTAATTTTGGAACTCACAACATGAAAACAATTTGCATTGGAAAACACCCCCTTACCATGCAATTGAATGGAAGGGTAGTTAATGTAGTCACAAGGGTTTATGACTACGTTAACTACCTTTGTCATTTATAAACTTTAATTGAATTATCCCTTGTATATTTCTTTCCTTTTACATTTTACTGCTCCTTGAGTGGTGCAGCAAACCTTTCTTGAGGGCTTAGAATTAGGGGCGACCATTGGCCGGGCTTTGGGCCTATGACTTTATATGTAAAATATTAGATATGTATGTGTAAAATTTATATTATGCTTTATTTAATATAGTATATATATTGTATCATATTATAATATTTTTATATGTAATATATAATATACTATAAACCAACAAACAATATTCATATATACATGTAATTAGGGATGTCAATTGCAAGGTCAGGTTTATTCTGGTGTAGGTTCAGGTTCAGACCTGGCTTACCTGTCTCATTGGCTCATAATACCCCTACAATCCTACATATGTATTTGGTGTTCTTTCCATTTTCTATGACTCCTAGCTATAAAGTTTAGGATTTCTTTTCATGTTTATTTTAGTTTTTCTTCTTTCACTAATGAAGTGACACCTTACCAACCTGGGCCAGGTTCAGGTGGGAATATTAGAGGGTTGGGTTAGATACTTAGGGTATGCTTGGTTCGCAGGAATAGGGGTCTGGAATCGGAATCGAAATTCCATTCCGATTCCAGGCGTTTGGTTGGGCGGAATCGGAATCTGATTCCCATTCCAGGTGGAATGACAATTCCCGACCCACCCCCTGGAATCGGAATCCCATTCCTGCTATTTAATATAAGAAAAAGCCGAAATGACAAAAAACCCTCAAACCTCTCTCTACCGGATTCCAACTGTCTAACCCTTACTCCCCTTTCTCTCTTGTCACTCCCTCCTCTGGCAGAAGTTCGAAGTACTGATCTGAACCGAAACTCTGGCGATGGTGACGAGGTAAATCACCGTCGATTTTTCTCTCTCCTCTTTCCTATTCTTCTTCCTCTCTCTCACTTTATTTTTTCATTCCTCCCCAGTTTTTCCGCTGCAGACCAGATCAAACACAAGGTATGTTTTCCTCAATTTTCCTTATAGCATTTTTTTTAATAGATCTTTAGTAGAAGGTCTGAAATGCATGCTAAATTTGGTTGTTTCTACTTGACCACATCAAATTGGGTGCTGGTTGAAAAACTTCTGCCAAATCTCTTCATATATATTTTAGCCAAGTTCAGTCGGTGTTCATTTTTCATCATCAACCTGTAACCCTATCCCTACCATCCCTCTGCGGATCCTGTTAGCTTTGTGCTAAATATTTCAAGTATACCCTATGTTTTTTTATTAGACAAAACGAGGGAGAGAGCCTTCATAGGCTTCAATAAAGATCGTTATCAGTAGTCTTCAAGGTAGCCTGGACACTCTATGGAACATCGTTCCCATCATCAAAGGTATGTTCTGGAATTTCAGCACGCAACTTGATGAGTGATGATCTGTGGAGGAAGCTAATTGTAGAGAAAGCTGTTTGAATTCTTAGGAAGTGACATCTCTCTCACAGAGAAAACCAGGAACTGTATCTTAGAAAGTGTTCACTGTGTGTCCTGTTTGAATTCTTGTCTACTAGCTCAATGAGCATGCTAAGCTTTCTGCTTCATTGACCCTAAGGGCCCTGCAAAAATAAAAGGTGCCCCTTTATTTAGATCAGAAATACAGAAGAAAACATTAGTGCTCGAAGTACAAACAACTACTGTTGGGCACACTTAAGAGTTAAGTCCCTTCTCAGCTAATCTATGGGCATAGCATTTGTTCCTTCTGGGCCTATAGAAAAACTTCACTTCTTTAAAGTGTGATTGTGTGAACTGCTTACAGAGGCGTCCGAAAATCTGAAACAATAGGTTCTAAGGTACAAGGGACTATAGCATCCCTGTTCATATGGCTTTATAATTCCGAGAGTCCCAATTGACATAACATTGGTCAAGCCCCAATCCCTCCACAAGTGGTCAGTGCCTCCAAGACTCCATGGGTAACTCTCAGTTTGAATCATTTACTCATTTATTTCATTGAACCCATTACATAAAATTCTACTTCAGAATTAAAGAAAGGGCCATACCAACCCAAGGCCCCTAACCCTAAGTCGACCTTGTTGTATACTATTGGTTGCTGGGCCCCTGTTTCCTTGAGTTGTTGACCAATGGTAGTTGGACCATAGATAGATGTTTTACATCCATGCTTAGTTGAGGAGGCTCAAATTAATCTTATTTGGTTTTGGTGTCTGAGAAATTGCTGTTTGTTGGTGGTCAAAAGGTTTAGGCAAAAGGGGTTTAGTTGTATGTGGCACAAATGGTTCTTGTTATAAAGCTTAATAAACTGTAAGGTTCCAAATGACCTAGGCATGGTGCTCTTTCTTTGATTTTTATTTTCATTTTTTATTGAAATTGATGGATATAATAGCTCATAAAAATTATGGAAATTTTTGGTAAAGTGGGGGCTGCATGGTTTTCCAAGGGCTTCTAAGAAAACCTATTATTATTATTATTATTATTATTATTATTATTATTATTTTTGTGCTAGGGATGTAGATATCAATGGAAATTTAACAGCACTGCAGTGGTTACATCTTAGTTTTGATAGTAGGCTGAAACCTCTGCAGATGGCCATAATGGAAGCATGAGATTGGGATCATATGACAGAAGCACACCTGCATCCTTTGCAGATTGTGTAAGTTATAGTTATTGAGCATCCAGGCAGTGCTTCCTTAAGTGGACTTCATATCCAGTTTTTGCTGATCCCATCAATTAGTTATACATGACTTGGCAAAAAATCATTATGCCTTTGAAGCTTACTCTTTCCGAGAAAGATGTTCTATCTCTATTAATGTGCTTGATAATGCTTATATGGGGTCATTGTTTGATATTATGGTAAAATCTCAGGCCAACTAGTATGAAAATGCGTTGTTGTGTGACTTGTGTCTGAGAGTTGCCATTTCATGCAAAAATGCTGGAGGCTAATGTCCATGTTCACTCCACTTCTTCCAAAACCCTGAATAGTTGTCCAGCATCGTTTTGTCATCATAATTGCAGTTGCTTCATAATGCTAATTACTGTCTTATCATCAAATTTCCTTTTTCTCATCCGCAGGTTTAGTGGTGCGATGCGATATTGCCTGTCCTAAGAACTTACTGCAGCAGAGTACACTCTCTTCAAAGATTGGTCCGCCCCCATTCTACCAATGCTAACCGGAACAAGAGACTTCTGGGATAGTACAGTGAACTCATGCGCTTTGTTTTGTTTTGTTTTTGTTTTTGATGAGTAGCTCTGGTTTTGTTTGCATATTGGAAAAATTTTTCATGCTCTTTATAATACATGAGGTGCTATTGGTCTGTTTATGTGTTTTTTTTGGTGATTTTTGTTTGTTTGTGTTTTTTTTCTCATTTTTTTTTCATATATATTTTTTTTGTTAGTAGGTTGCCAATGTGTGTATATGTTAAAAATATATAATAAATGGGCTATTTTTAAGGTTATTTTAGCAAGGGTAGAATTAGAAATTTTGGCTGATTCTGATTCCAATTTCTAATTGAACCAAACAGCAATAATCGGTTTCGATTCCAATTCCTGACTGAACCAAACAGATGCCTGGAATAGGCGATTCTGTTTCTGTCTGCAAACCAAATGCACCCTTAAGGCTATGTTTGGTTTGAAGGAAAAAGTAGGGAAAGGAAGGGAAAGGTAGGGACATATTAGCTTTCCCTACCTTCTTCCTTTCCCTACTTTTTCCTTCAAACCAAACATAGCCTTAGAGTCTAGGCAAACCCATATCAAACCCGTTAATGTCCCTATATGTAAATATGTGGTATTTATATTGCAGTCTGGTACTGGACGGCTGGACCTAAAGTATTGGGACTTGGCACATATTAGGCTGAGCCCGGCCTCTTGATCAGGATAGAAATAGGCGAAACGATCACCCGTAGTTACAACTTTGATTCCAAATATTCCTTATTTTCGGAGTTTTTGTATCAGGCCCCTTCGTTAGAAAATTACTACTTGGACAAAGGTGGCAAGCCAAGCAGATATAACTTACACATAGATGTCAAGAGCTCAAGATATACGGGAGAGTCTAGACAACAATGGACTGCCTAGGCAAGGGAATTCGACGAAGAAAACCTAAAATCTAGGTGAGCTTGCTAGTTTTCTGCATGGTTTTGAAAATCGGACCGGATGGGATGGTTGGACTGGTTGACTCGAGAAATGTTGACTTGGTTAGTGATTTGTTGACCCGAATGGTTGAACCATCAACCTGGACTACGGTTTTGCCTGTTTTAATTTAATTTAATTTATTTTGTTTTAAATCAGAATGAGCCATTTGTTTGAATTGGACGGTTGGAGAATTGGACCCAAGAACCGGTGGCCAAAATGATTCTGTGTCTGGTTTGATTTTTAAAGCCTTAGTTTTATATACCAGCCGACCATCATAAAAATTGAATAATAACATTGCTCTTTAATAAGACTTACATTTCATATCAAAACATGATAAATCATTTGTTAAAGAAAATGGAGGAATAATGTAACAATTAGCAATGCACCAGGGCTGCAATTGCCACAAGATCTTCTATCATTTGTACTTGTAGGATTTTTCTAACCAAAGATCATCTAAATCTGACAAAAAATATTCTACCCATTTATCAAAAAAGGAGAATGAACCATGATAGAGAGCACAATTTGTCTTGATCCAAACCAAGAGTGAAAGAGAGCGGGGCCTTAGAATGGAAGGATTCGATTGGGCAGTTTCAAGATCTCAGCAATTTCTTCTCTCGTTGTGGATTCCGCAGAGCCCATGTATAACAAGTTAACAACCCATTTTACTAAAACTAGAATTGTAATGAATGGGCCAGGATACAACAGATCATTCTCATCCATGTCTTTTGTACGTACTGATGTTGATTTAGATACTTTGGTCATATTGCCTCATGTAAATTTCTCTTATTCCTGGTGAAAAGCACTTTAAACGAAACCTACGAAACCTAAAACCCATCCATCCATTGTCGGGTTTGGGTTGGTAATCCTTTGGATTGGGTTCAGATTGTTGAACCCGTATCAAAACCCATCCATCCATTGACATTCCTAATTGAAATTTGACAGTTACCAACTGTCATCATTCAGAAATGGTTGGTTATTGATCTCATTCCCATCATCCAATATGGCAAGGCTTATGGTCCATTTGATTTGTAGTTGGAATTGGAATAGAAAAAAAAAATTCAAACACTTGGACCAGATGGGCCGTTAGTCTTAACACCTGGACCAGGTCAGATATGCTCTAACAAATACCATTTAGGCATTTGTTTGGCATTGATGCCGTTTCTTCAGAAAATGGTGACACATCAGTGTTGCATGGGAAAAACAATGTTCTAGGAAAAGCCTGTTTGTTTGGAATCTTTTTTTTTTTCATAAAAAAATGGTATTCAAAGCCATATGTCTTGAAAATTAGAAAGCCGTGATTTGGTGCAATGATGAATTTAGCGTTTTCTGGAACTGCAGCTCATTACTGCCAACAAGAAGATAAAGTGGCAATGAGGCAACCGTGTTTTGTTCTTTGGGCGGTTCACGGCAAAGTGCCAAAAGGAAAAACATCTCATCTCATCTCATCTCGTCCTTCCCATCGGGGCAGGCCAAGGCAGCACATCTTGCGAATAGAGTAGTCCAGATCATAGTTAAAAGTGGGACCCATCAAGTGTTGCTGCTGTCTGCATGCCTGCCACGTTGTATCCATGGATTTCTGACGAAGCACGTCTCTCCCCTGCAGATCGGCCCAGATCGAATTGTGAGTTGAGTTGGTAACTTAATTTACTGCGACTCATAAATGATAAAGCAAAGCCCCTCCTGACTCCTCCCTCTCCCCTGGAAATCAATGTACAATTATGGTCTATGGTCAAGTTAAGTCAACGCTATGGACAGTTGCTGCTTATCTGACAGTCAAACTCAGTTCATGATCTAATTCTAACCATCTGATTGGATGTTTTACTTTGGTTGGGCAACGGATACCGATACTACGCAATCGGGCAAGCAAAAAAATGTGATCAGCCGAGCCACCCTCAACTGGGTCCCATCTCCCATCTAACAGATCTGTTTCAGATGATGATCACGTCTACCCAAAAAAAGAAACAAAGATGGCGATCGCGATATATCAATATGGGGAGGGTACAGCTGTGGGACTATTCTATTCTTTCAAAGGACGAATCTAGGACAGTCCGCTATCCTTCTTTCTTGGATTGGAATC